AAACGGCTTCCGTCTCTAAAGAGAGAGCCGACCCTACCCCAATAAGAGGCTAACGAACGAAAGAGACGGAAAATTCGGTCTAAATAAGAATGAGCAATGCTCATAAATTATTTTTCACCTCTTCCCAGAACTCAACCTTCTTTAGATCTAATTAGAGTTTTATACTTTTAATTCTTCAGACTTCACTCCTTTTTATACAATTCCTTACATTTATAGAAAAATACCTAACTGTTTAACAGGTTTGTATATCACTTATTGATTTTATAACGATAAACAAACAGTAGCAGTACTACGACTACCATGACTACGTTGCACACTAAATTACTAAATACTAGATTTGCAAACAAAATTATTAACGTATGGGACTGATATGGACTTCAACATGTATTTACCTCACAAATGTCTGATGTGAAGACGACATCTGACGATATATGATATTCAGGAACATCTTGCTGGTCTAAAGAAATGACTTAAAGGGTAACCTGGAGTAAAAATTTGGAATATGACCTAGTTTTCTGGTAGCTCAAATTGAGAAACCAACTTCGCCTTGTTTCGACTGTAAAGGATTAGTCAATAGAGGGCTCACATAAACTTTGAAAAGTCTATGAAAGAAGTTTGAGGGTAACATGAACATGCCCTTTTGGCCTTTTAAAAACCCATCATAATGTTGTATTCGACTGTTACACAAAGAACTGTGGCTCCTTCTTCTTTTTTTTCCTTTTTTTTCTTCTTCTTTTTCTTCTTCTTCTTCTTCTTCTTCTTCTTCTTCTTCTTCTTCTTCTTCTTCTTCTTCTTCTTCTTCTTTCTTGATTTGCAGATTGACGTTGCAGATATCTTCCCGTTAAGTACCGACCTCTTAAATAAATTGTTTTCGTACCAGTATTCTAATATCCCATTTTAGACCGTATGTGGAAATATCCCCCTTTTTATGTTTTAAAAGATTTTCGGGCATAAACATTGTTCATGTGCAGGCACGTAGCCAGAGTTTGATGTTGGGGGAGGGGGGGGGGGGCACAAACATGTAATCGATCGAGGTCAAAAAAGGGGTCTAAAAAAGTTCAATCGATCTTGGACATTTTGTGGGGCACGTGCCCCCAATGCCCCCCCCCGTGGCTACGTGCCTGTTCATGTGCCCCTGATCCCATCGATATAGCTCCTTTAATGGTATACAAGCAAGCCCCCCAAAATATCTAAATTGTCGTATATAGTTATACCGTTATTTCGTCATCAAAAATGTACTATAACTATAAAAAAAAAACATGATATGAGATAAAAATGTTGCTGAAATGTACTGGGAGGGGGAGGGGGCTGTAACCACATAATCCCCGGCTCGTACGCCCATAGGCAACTCAGTCCGACAACATTATAGTGCATGAAGAAAATATTTCTCAGAAAACAGTGCAAATAACTAAGGCGACTTTGGGCACCAGCGGTAGTCGGGGGGGGGGGGGGAGGCTGGGGTAGCCTTGACAACGTACAATGTATGCAGTTTACATTTTCATTTTTATTGTGTTTTTATTTTAAACACGGTATGGAAAATATTAACAGTAACTTGATAAATCAAACTACGGGCATAATCTCGCTTGACGGATAAGAAAGTACCCAAAGGTTTTTTTAACTTCATAGGTAGATTACCTAGGTAGGTGATTCTTTAAAATGGAATGCAATAACACGTTTGACGGAAGGGGAGGAGGGCTGAGTGTTGAATCATGTTTTCACCTATCCGCTCTCTCTCCCTCTCTTCTCTCTCTCTCTCTCTCTCTCTCTCTCTCTCTCTCTCCAGGCTCTCTCTCTCTCTCTCTTTTTCTCTCTCTCTCTCTCTCTCTCTCTCTCTCTCTCTCTCTCTCTCTCTCTCTCTCTCTCTCTTTCTATCGCTATATACAACCTAGTATCGCTATAATCGTTTGCAGGGGGAGTAAAGGGGCTGTCCCATATATGCACCGTGACGTCACTGACCACAAACACACACCTGGGCCCCCGTCTTATTAAACCAGGGGATGCAATCATTGAAAGCCATTAGCATCTATGAAACTATTTTGTAAAAGTTATTTTAAATGGCATAAAACGTTGATTCAAATCATTCATATTTTTTATTATCTAAGAGATGTCTTGATTTTGATGCGAAATATATAAAAAGTCTAAAATACTTCAATTTTCGCTTTTGAATATATTTTATCTTAAGGTTACAAATGGCTCTCCATAATTTTTAAGTCCAACTTAGAGTTAAGTTCGACTTAAGATCTTTGTGAAACACCCCCCAGAGCCTGTAAGTGTGCGGTCTAAATATAACAGGTGTACAATATCAACAACAAAAATTTAATGATATTAAGCGCAACTTATTTGCTATCGATATCTATCGCAACTATGCGTAGAGGACTGCAAACTCGCGATTGATTAGAGAACTTAATACGGCTGGTTTGGAAATAATCGCAACTCTTTATAAGACGGGGCTCAGGCCAAACTCCTTCCAATAGTAATCGATTGTTTCGATAACACCTTCCCCCTAAAAAGACTGATGTTAGATGTCTTTGATTTGAAGTTGTTAGATATAGGCCTACAATTCTGCTATGAAGACTGTATAAGTGAATTAAGAAGCAAAATAAGAGGGTGAATATCGCTGGCCAGAATGATTTTCTCTTGCAATGGTTTAAAAGTTGAGATTGCTGTGTAGTTCGCTTCGATTCACACAGCCAGAATTAATCGTACATGTAGATCATGCCAGTTAAAATATCTGACAAATATGAGTAGATTCTTAACAAGATTAATTCCGGTTTCCTTTCCTGCTACAAGAAAGATTCTTTTGGATTGTTCCAGTGATTCCCTGAGGGGTTGTTCCATTCTTTAATACTTCCAAAAATTGACCACAAAAGAGGCACTGCCCGGATTTGAACCGGGGATCTCCTGTTTACTAGACAGGCGCTTTACCAACTAAGCCACAGCGCCGCACACAATATGTTTTATCATTTCGAATCAAAGTCCAATCTTGATTTACTAGGCTTTCTCCATAATATTTATTTTGAATCTTAGTTCAACGACATCTATATGAAATAAGTTGTAATTTACATACATTTCTATATGCACGAGCCTTTCTTTTCGTTTTGTTTTAAAGCTTTCCTGTATGATTATATTTCAATAATTTATGATATGCACATTGTTTTCCATATAGGCCTAAAAACCTAAAAGATTGAATTAAAAAATTATATCAGGCATGCGAGCATTCAATACACCAAACATCTATTGCAGTTATCTAAATAGTTTACAGATCATCCGTATGCGTTCCCGAACAATCAGAACAATTGTGGATGTGGGGGAGGGGGAGGGGGGGGGGGGGGGTAATGGCTCCCCGGCCTTGTTAGGGTTCATACACCCTAGTATCGTTATATATCATTTGCAGGGGGGGGGGGGTGCAGGGGCTGCCCCACTACATGCATGTCACTGACCACAAACACCACACCTGGGCCGCATCTTATTTGCGATCGATACTAATCGTAACTATGCACCCAAGGGATAGGGGAATGCAAACTTGCGATTGATTAGAGGACCTAATACGGATTAATCGCAACCCTTTATAAGACGGGGCTCAGGCCAATGCATTACCCGGTCAATTATTTTAGGAATAGTACTCGAGTTCATCATCCGCTGATTCTTTGTTTCGATACCCCCACCCCCCTAAAATGTTAGATGTCTTTGAGGCCTACATTTCTGCTATGAACATAAAGGTGAACTAGTATGAAGCAAAATAAGAGGTTGATAAATTTACATTTCTGGAAGACAGAATTAGTCGTATAGCATGGTCTGATAGTTAAAATATATGGCAAATATGAAAAGATACTTAACCAGATTAATTCCTTTCCTACTACAAAACGGATACTTTGGGATAGTTCCAGTGATATTCTGAGGGGTTGTTCCATTCTGTAATACTTCCAAAAATTGACCACAAAAAAAAGGCACTGCCCGGATTTGAACCGGGGATCTCCTGTTTACTAGACAGGCGCTTTACCAACTAAGCCACAGCGCCGCACACATTATGCTTTATCATTTTGAATAAAAGACCACTATTGTTTTACTAGGCTCTCTCCGTAACATTTATTATGAATCTTAGTTCAACGACATCTATGAAATAAGTTTTAATTTAGAGACATTTCTATAGACTATACACGGGCCTTTTTTTCCGTTTTTTTTCCAAAGCTTTCCTGTGTGATTATATTTCAATAATTTATGATATGCACATACATGTTTTCTAAAATATTAAATTAAAAATTATATCAGGTATGCGAGCATTCAATACACCAAACATCTGTTGCAATTATCTAAATAGTTTACAGATCATTCAATATTTGTACAATATTTGGTAAACCAACAGACGTCCCTCTTGTTTCTGTATATACATGATTGTAATGCGTGTCTATCATTCAACGAGCACGACCCCCCCCCCCCCCCCAATTGGTGAGAAAATATTTAGCGGCGAATCAGCCAGCTGGTGAATAAGCGGGGGGGGGGGGGGGGTGGTGGCGGGGGGGGGGGGGGGGTAAGGAAAACTTTTTTTTTTTTGGGGGGGGGGCGCTTTAGTTTTTTGTTTAAAATAGGTAAAATTAACGTTTAATACCATCCCATTTTTAACCAGTTTTTTTGCCAGGGGGGGGGGGGCCGGGCCGGGCCCGTCGGGCTCCCCCATGGATCCGTGCCTGATTATTATCATTATCATTATTACTATTATTATTATTTGTATTTTTATTATCATCAACATCATAAACTCCATTTTGCCCCTTTTCCTCATAAGCATCATTACTTTCACTCTCCTGGAAGTCATTTATATTTTCAATCATCATCATCATCATCATCATCATCATCATCATCGTCATCATGATTATCGTCACTGTTATCACTCATACCAGCTAATCCATTTGTCGACATTCTTCTTAAAGGGCCATTCGAATAAAACTGAAGTAAAATAATTCTTGTAACATCATGACAGATACAAAAACAGGTTTTCGAAAAAGTTCTTTTGAAATGCAAATGAAACAATCTCTCTTTTAATAATAAACAACATATTGATTGATAATTCTTTGAACAAAATATTCATAATCTTATATACAAAACTACAAGAATCTCTCTCACTAAGTAACTAAACATAAGAAAATAATAGAAAGATACAAATAAAATACAATGGAGCACAGTATATATTAGATCATCAACATGGATGTATAAAATTGTGAGGCTGACATAGCATTTGAAAAATAATGAAGGCAGCATTTTTGTTAAAGCACGTGGGTCTTCAGGTAAATACGAGCTCAGGTGTTGATGCATGTAAGAACTTCCTGCGCTGATATTAAAGCGATTATTTTTTTCCATTTATCAGAACTAAATGTCTATGAAAGCTAACGAGTATAAAAGGTTCAATGAGTGTTCATGAATGTCTATCTATTTAGACGGATGCAATCATCACTCGTGAATTTCTCCTCTGCCTAACGACGTAAATTGCGATTCCGGCGAAGATGACGACGACGACGATGACGGCAATGGTAGCTCCCGCGACGGTCGACGCCGAGACGGCCTGTGCTCTTCCGTTGGCATCACGTACGAGATGTGGGTTGTTGTTGTAAGGCTGGCTGTTGAATCCTTGGTCCACGAAGGGGTTGCCGCCGCCCATCATACCGCCGCCGCCACCGTTGTAACCTTGTCCACCGCCGTAACCGGCGCCGTAACCGGCTCCGTTACCGTAACCGGGGTTGTATCCATGTGCCATGCCGCCGGTTCCACCCATGCCTCCGCCCATGCCTCCAGCTCCGCCCATACCGCCTCCGCCCATGCCGCCGCCCATACCGCCTCCAGCTGCACCAGCGGCTGCTGCCGCTGCGGCACCGAAGACGTCGAAGCTAGTCATCTCTCCCGAGTTGCCGGTTGACATGCCGACCATATCTGCGTAATCGCCTAAGTCCCCAAACGGGTCTCCTTGGGCCATGACACACCCTAGACAAAATCGAAATAAATGAGAGAAATTAATATGATTCATAGATGTGCTTCGAAATACATAATATATATTTGTTCCAGTATTACTGTAGAAAAGAGGCTCTCACTTTGACTATCATCCGATTTTCCAGGGCTGATTGCGAAATAATTTTTAATTTGGATGGGTAGAATATCACACCCAATAGACTAAAACCATGATATTTCCACAAGCAAAAAGAAGAAGAAAAAAAAAACCTCTAGTTGATACATGTCGAAAAGTGTCATCGACTGTCCTAGATTTATAACAAAAAATGGTACCCCAAGTATAAAATAGGGTCCCAAGTGTGTACAGAGGGGGCCGGTAAGAGGACACTTTTTTTTTTGGTCTCGAAATTTGAAAATTTGACATTTTGCTCCGTTGGGGGGGGGGGGGTAAGGTCAACTTTTTTAGGTCAGCAATTTGTATAATTTTTTTATTTATTTATTTATTTATTTTTTATTAAAAAAAAAAAAATTACCAAAGGTTTTTTTCCCCACCAAAATACACACACCAAAAATACCAAAGGGGGAGGGGGGGGGGGGGGGGGGAAGGGGTTAACCCCAACCCTCCCCCCCCCCCCTGCGTACGCGCCTGCATGGTTATAATACATGAGGGTATTTGTTTGGGGTAGGAGCGTGGGCGTAATGCAGTCCAGGGGTTAGTTGTCTTAGAAATGTTTTCTATTAATTTCTATAACAAAATTAAAAATTAATGGAATGCAAGCTACATGTAGGTTTACACTGTTATTATGCAAAGGCCGGTGATTCTGTGCGATTTCTAACTCAGATAAAGAAATTATAGACCATGTGGACCCCAAATGATTATTTACTATTGAACATAATTTATTAAGACCCAAATTACTAAAAACCAATTTGATTCCTTGCACGACATCAGCATAATTTATCAATTAAAATGCTCATCCATTAAATGATCACACTTATCGTTTTGGATTATCATCAGCACTCTTAGTACGACCTTCGTGAAGCACATTAAGTAACATCCGTTCACTATTCTCAAATTGAAAACAGACACCATTTTAAGAGACCCAAAATAAGCAACGAAAAATGCCTCTAGGAGAAAAGAAATAGTAACGAGTTCTTATTAATAATTAAAAACAGATATTAAGTGACAAAAATAAACCAGAGAAAATCTCTCCGGAGAGAGGGATCGAGACGGCAATGACTTATTACATCAAGAAATAACATTGGTTGATTGGGTGGTTGGTTTTACCTGACTGCTAAGAAAGCATGTGTATGCTTGTATATAAGTAACGCAACCAGGCAACCGACGGATATAAGTCATCTCCGAGAGACTTGGTAATGAAAAGGGCACTAGCGCATCGACTTTGTTTCAAACCAGAGACCTCACCGTTATACGAAACCACTGAACCATCGTGTCATTCTATTTATAGTATAACTTCCCCTAACTCGTCACACCCAAGAATTTTTTTTTTTTACCGACAGCGAACGGATGCCATGCACTTCCTGAACGCGTAAATCAATGGCGAAAGAATAGTTGGAATGAGCTAATGGGACACTCAGAAAACACGATGAGCATCTATCATCCATCGCGGATACCGGACTATTAAAGATACCGATAATCTGGTCGTGTGTTTACAATCATGGTGACGAAAACCGACTGGAAGTATTTCATGCCATTGGGAAAAGTTCGAAGTATACAACATAATAATTGTTTAATATTGCTAGATGAACAAAATGGTCTATATTCACAAAATCTTCCTGAAAATCATGTGCACTGCACATAGATATTCGTATTTAGGACCACACGCAAATGCGACATGAAAGTTTGATCCAAACTTTCAGCTATTTCCCGTAATATTTTGAATATGAGGGCATTATGAAGAGCAATCCTCTTCAGCGCATATTACTACAAAGTTCTTCTAAAAATTCATTCAAAGAATAAGAAAGGTCACAAATTTTATTTCATCTTTACCAGGGCCTCGTTGCATAAAACTTACCATTGATGGTAACTTTGCCATCAATGGTTACTACCATGGTAACAGGACTCAACAGCCAATCAAAATCAAGCTTTCGATGGTAGTTGATGGCAAAGTTACCATCAATGGTAAGCTTTGTGCAACGGGGCCCTGAACTCAATCTTCTCTTTAAAACCTTCAAGAAACCGCATTTGACGCACTAGGCGAAGTGATGACGGATCATTTCCGAGCAATGTTATTCCCCATCAAGTGGCACATGGAAGAAGCAATTACAGACGGTTCTAAATCGGTTTCAAATTCAAACATGGCGAGTCAGAGGTATTATAACTGCACTATGAGGGGTAGAATGCTATGTACTGCTGTTTCTAGCGATGAGTAAAATCAGAATGTGTCATGCACCCCAATTTGCCTAATTATCTCTTCCTTTGGAGCTTAGCGGAGCAATTTCACGCAACATTTGGGGCAGTGGTATTTGTATTGGCAGAAACTACGTATACGCCACGCCCTGTTCTATATACACACAATTTGACCTGCGTGCTACTAAATTTCAACCCAATGTTGGTTTTATGCTTTAATTTGTTTGAAATCGGATTTAATAATGAAAGTTAGTTTGAAGTTTAGGTTTTTCTTTGTTAAACGTGATCTTAGAGGCAGAGATGTTTTTAACTGTATTAGCAAAATACGGACCCACGTTTATAACTGTCAACAAGCAAAGACAAGTCTAAAGATTTGTTTAAATATATATTGTGCTGATAATGAGACGGAACGTAGGGCATATAAAAAAAGAACTTCCACCTAATGTTAGAGACTGCAAATAGATGGTAATATGTACTGTTCCCGTACCCCCTATAATTTGTCCTTCTTCTGCACATCCGCCAGACTCCAAGACAGACCTTCAAGATCGTCCTTAAAACTTATCTTTTTCATTTATAAATCTCTATCGGTAAAGTAAGTTAGCACACATATTATTAATGATTTTGTAGTTTAGTTACAACTAAAATATTACTTTTACTTTCTACTTCTAACTATTACTTAATATTTAATACTTACTATTTTGTGATTATCTTTTATAAATGGGTGTCTGCAGTGAGTATAGTGTAATATTAACTTATTTCTATTGATGATGCTGGACTTGTTATTTTTCCTTTTTAATAGTCAGTAAAGTTTAAGGAATTATACGTCTTGTAATGTACCTGTATAAGTTTATCACAATGTAGAAGTCTAGTTTGAGTATTTCAATTATGTGAGAATTTTTTTCTCCATAAATGCTAGAACTCCGGGTTAACTGAAGTATCTCTTCCCAGGCACGTTGAAACTTTCAAAGTCAAATTGAAGGCCGCTCTGATACAGAACTAGGTTCCGGTTTAATTATGGCTGTGATTCACTATATAAAGTTAGAATTCTCGTGCCCTATTTTATCCCTTGGAGGCTTGGACCATTCAAAATAACCTTGGAGTCGCCCCAGCAATTCGAGGCATTCCTGCCAAAGTCAATAACATGTCTCCTCTTCAACTTGAATAACACCCAATGCTGATCTTGATCGTGATTTAGAAGAGGTGCAATCGGAATATGTCTAGCTCATCCAAAAGCTCTTTAAGTAATCCCTGGTGATAATAGATTATTAACGAGACAACGAAAACTGATTAATTGCAATTTAGTCATACCTAGAGCAACGCATTCCAACTCCAGAAAAAAAAAAATCGGTATATATTTTGTCGGAGGTAAATGGAATTAATAGGAATAATTTTCTACCAATTCTATCAATACTTTAAGAGCTTCATCTTACATTTTGCATGATTTGACAAATCATCGTCGTTTGCCTTCATCGTCGTCGTCGTCATATTCGCCGGAATCGCAAAAATATGTTATTTCGCAATCTTTAATGAATATCACATGTTTATGTTTAATTTAAAATCATTATTCATGAATATTTTTTTCCTTCTGTTTCTATGATGAAAAAAGGGGGAAAGAGTATTCTGACCTTGAAATGTATGGAGATCCCAAGATTATAATAGTTATTCTATTGAAACCCTCTGTTTGTTAAAATATTTATTTATCTCACGAATGATTCATTTAATTGAAGAAAAATTCAGCATTTTTTTTGCGGGAAAGGTGCTTATAAATGAAACAAAATTATGCAAAAAAAGAAAGAAAGAAGAACAAAATATTCAAACGACAATGAACTTACCTAGACATGCAGCGAGAATTACAGCACAAGCGTTCATGATGATGGTTGGAGTAATGATTCCAATAGAGTCGAGATTGGACAAAAAGAAAATTGATTAGTTTAAAACAAGAAGAAAAATTTGAGTACTATCCTGGCAAAGAAACTGGGCAGCATCTATTCCAAAACTAGGTACCTCACCCCTCTTTATACCATGGCTTCGAATGGGGGGTAAAAGGGGAAGAGAGATTTAGAGAGGAAAGGGGTGCAGGCTTATCGCTGATTGGCTGAATGTTGATGAGTGCCTGACAAGGCCTCGGATGTCTGTAAACGATAGAGGGTGCTGACAAGTTTTGACGAAAGTCCCTCTTCCCCATTCTCTCTCTCTCTCTCGTTCTGATCTGTCTCTCTGTCTCTCCCTCCCTCTCTCTATCTCTTCCTCTGTCTCTAGCTGTCTCTCTTTCTCTCTGTGTCTCTTTCTGTCTCTCTCTCTCTCTCTCTCTCTCTCTCTCTCTCACTACCTCTCTCTCTCTTTCACTCTACCCAAGCTCCTTAGTCTTTCGATGTTTCTCTCTCTCTCCTGTAGCAGGCTCCTATTTTCCCCGTCTATTATTTTGTCCATCTATTCCACCCTCCGTACCCCTTTCTCAGTCTTTTCATATTCACTCACCTCTCTGTCCCGTATACTCTCTTTCTCCTCTCTTTGATATGTTTCTTGTTTCTCTCCGTCTGTTCATAATCCCCGTCTATACTTCCCTTGAGTTCTCCTTTGTTCGTAATTCCCCTCTGCATCATCGTTCTATATCAGGCCTTCTCAACTAGTTTATTAGAAGTGCCAAAACGAAAATAATTTGTAGTTGAAGTGCCACCCTTGTATGGTTGACTGTTCTGCGAGGGAGCGTAGCGACCGAGCCGAAAATCGTTGGGGTCCAGGGGCGAAGCCCCCTGAAGCTGGTGAATTTAGGGCTTTCTAAAGGCCCAAATGGGGCATTTTTAGCACCATTTCATTCCACAATATAACCAATCATAATTTCATTTTGATGTGAACAAATTAGTACAATTCCTGGGTACAATTACACTGGAGGTATATTTTGACTCTATATGTAGTTTTTGGTGTCCAATAAACACGAGAAATGTCAAAATAAAGTGAAAATAAAAAAAAACGAATTGATCGCAAGCTAATTGTTGTTCAGACCTTAGGTTTACATTCGTATAAAATGGTAGAAAACGATAAATTCCCCTTTCTTCCTGTTTGTTAAGCAGGCATTTTGGGCTCAAATTCGACTGCAACTTCTTGATTTCGCTGAGTATTGGTCTATTTGCTTTCTTTCTGTTTTTTTTGTTTTGTTGTTGCAACAGTCGCGCGCCACTCCGACTGACCGCAAGCGCCGCCAGTTGAGAAGGCCTGTTCTATATACTCCTTTCTCATACGCTCTAAATACTACCCTTGTTAGGTTATTGACATTCTCCTTACAAAAGCGTCCCCCTATCCCAGTACACGCCGAAAGTCTCCGCAACACGATTTACACGATTCAAAATTTACACGATTCGACTGCTCGCGGGAATCGTGTAACCATTTATTTTACACGATTCGTTTTTTGCCAATGAAGCGAAATTTGAATCGTGTAAACGTGTAATCGTGTAAATTTACACGATTCCTCAATTCAGGTCGAATCGTGTAATCGTGTAATCTGCCCGCCGAAAATCTCCGCAACACGATTACACGATTCAAAATTTACACGATTCGATTGCTCGCTGGAATTGTGTTACAATTTATTTTCAGTGGTGATGGTGAGCAGGTTAAGGACGTCTAGTTCAGTAAAAGCAAGAAGTTACTTCTTGGTTGAACGAGGACAACGTGGACGATACGAGGGGATAGCGAAGATTACGCTTTCTTTCTCTTGTATATATTTTCAATTTCAGTGTCTTGTCTCTAGTTTTATTATAGAATGTTTGAAAGTTAAAAAATCAGTCCACTTCCCGAAAAAAGAAAAAAGCGATGAACGACGAAGGAAGGGGGGAATTTTGTTATTCCTAAGTTGTAAATAAGTAAAAATGATTACAAAATGTAAAGGAGGGCTAACATAATTAAGTATGTTGTGATACTCTTACATTACAAGGCTGTACCAATTAGAATTACGGTTCACCAGCTCATTCGTTACTATGAATATCGTTATACTTTTTTTTATTCAATCATTATCCATTTTACAAACCTGGTTTGTAAAAACGCGTCATATGACGCACGAAAACCAAGGTTTGTCGACAAACCTCCTTTGTGAATTCGGGCCTTAGACTTTGATCACTTATTGCTTTTTTAGCGTTCCTCATTTTCGTAAATTACCTTTTACAACATTGCATTATTCAGCTATATGTATAAAGAGCTACGGTCAAGGCTTAAGGGCACACTTCCTGTCACATACAAAAGAAGCTTACTGTGAATGTGGCCTGCCATTGACCCTCGCCGGGGACAAAGGCCGTTGCCCTAGCTACAGACAGAGATCCTTACATAATACCTATTGTTCAGGGGGTTCCCCTTGAACATAGGATCCCCCTGAACAATAGGTATTACATGTACGTAAGTATGTAAGCCACTGCTACAGAGTGTAGGGAACAGTTGCAAGCCGAGAATGAATAGAATAAGTGAATGGCCAACTGTCTTTGAGTTACGTTTAGCTAGCGGCACAGTGTCCCCCACTTTTTCAAGTTTCCCCAAAGTGCCCCTTTGTATGTAGGAAAAGTACCTATTTTACTTTGACAAGTGTCCCTATTAATTTGTAAAAGTGCCCCTTCCCCTTTTCAACTCTGATAAGTGCTCCTTTTCTTTTGACACACACCCCTTTTAATCTCTAGTAAGTATCCCTCTTTAAGTACGAGAAGTGCCCCTCTTCAGTTTTGATAAATGCCCCCATCAACACCGATAAATGACCCTATTAAAATCTGATCGGTGCCCCTTTTCTTTCAACTAAAGCTTTTTTTATCTCTCTCTCTCTCTCTCTCTCTCTCACTCTCTCTCTTTCTTTCAATATCTTTCCATTCCCCCATATCTTTCTCGCCTCTCTTTCCCTCATTATGTTCCCCTCTTACCTTATTAATTTGTCTCTTTTCCTCTCCGTTTCATAGCCTTCTCATTTCTGTTAATTTTACTAGGTTTTGCCCTTCTTTTTTTTATCACTCTATTTCACTCTTTCTTTTCTTCCGGTCAACTTTTTAGTTTTCCCTTTTTTCTCTCTTTTTTTCTGTTTATCTTTATCGTGCCTTTCAACCCTCATTTTCCTTTTATATGTTCCCTTCTCCTCGTAGCTATCTTTTTTCCTTTACTATTTCATCTATCATGTCTTCCTGTTTCTGACGTTTTCCTACCTTGTCTCACGGATTAGTATACGATACATGTTAGTGGAAAGTGCTGAGGTTTATACACGAATATAAAGTACAGTAATTAACTGATGTACACTGAAGGTAAGTTGTGTATAAAGCAATTGGTGTAAGCAGGATAAGATTTAACGATTGTTGCAGCTTGTCACATCGTTCTACCAATGCCCTTATAACCCTAATAACTATTTACACGATTACACGATTCAGAGCGACATTCTTCAATCGTGTAAATTTACACGATTACACAGTTACACGATTGTTACATCTGGTCGAATCATCCGACCAATGCACTTAACTATTTACACGATTACACGATTCAGAGCGACATTCTTCAATCGTGTAAATTTACACGATTACACAGTTACACGATTCAGGTGAATCGTGTAAACCGTGTAATCCTAAAAATAAATCGTGTAATCGTGTTGCGGAGATTTTCGGCGTGTACTGTAGCTACGGGGCGCAGGGGCACGTGCCCTACAATCAAGTTGGAAATAAACAGATTTTTTTAAAAAAGAAGAGGGAAAGGAAAGATGAAAAGAAGAGGAAAGAACATCGTCCCACTTTCTCCTAATCGGTAGCCTAGCTTGCTAAGTGTAAGCCAGTAAGTCCAGGGGCCAGTTTCATAAAACCTGTTATCTATATACAACTGCTAAATTTCTATGACAAATTTGATCTCAGCCAATCAGATGCCATGATTTCAGTAGCTTATAACATTAGCTTGTAACTTGTTATTGATAACAGGTTTTATGAAACAGGGCCCAGGTGCCCCTCAGATGATGGCAGTGCCCCCCCCCCTCAATGACTGGATCCACGCTACGCCCCTGTAAGGAACCTTCCTCCAAATCACTCTTACATTTCACCTTGTCTCTTCTGATCTGTCCTCTAATTTTTTTGTTGACGAGATTTTGGAACATACTGATCCTTGGTTTGGTATAATAATACATAGGAGAAAGGAAATGGCACAGTATACCCATATCGATCAAGTACCATTATATCAATTACTGTCAGTTGTTTTAGCCAAATTAATAGGCATACTATAGTTGTGTTACCCAGAGCTTCCCTTTTGAATGAAAAACAACAGAGAAAAGAACTCGAAACTTATAACATCACCTCATTAATACGTTAGTGGACAGGACAAGTAATTGCGTAGATAGAAAGTTTTTAAATTACTCTCTCATGAGGCAAATAACCTCCTGTGAATCACTTCCACAAAATTCCAAGGCCTTGGTTAGCTTGAACTAGAAAAGGAGAGAAAAAAGAACATGAATTTAATAGCGTGGGACTACGTTTCACGAACAAACCCACATGCCCATATTGAATCATCTTGTAGGAGGTATATTTAATTAGGTATATTTCGATGTCATGTGATGCATCGCTCATTGATGCGAAGGACTTATTGAAATTAATTTGAGTATTTAGGGAGCGTTATGCCCTTAACATTTTTTTAACCAGATGTAAAATAAGAGGAAAAAAACGTTGAAATCATGATCATTAGAAGTGTTTCCTCTAGTTTTTTTTGGCAAACCATTTGGCCATGTGGTTTGGGAGACTTTCGGACCTGGGGAGTCTTTTACAAAGACAGAGAACAACTAAGGTTGACTTGAACTATGGCAGGCCGTTCATGCCACTGGTTGCCTTCACCATTCCTGGAATTGGCCTCTCAAGGGACGTACAGATCGTGGTCACAAATCTACAAAATTTACACGTTTTGATAGTTCATTATCGAAGTAAAAATATCATCTAAAGATCATGATTTCAAAGTTTTTTTTCCCTCTTATTTTACATCTGGTTCAAAAAATGTTAAGGGCTTAAATTAACAATATGTTTAAAGATGGAAAGGGAATATACGTACAAGAGAAGAAATAATGAATGAATGTATATTCTAATTTCATTACATCATGCTTTAAACACAAATCACGAAACAAAAAAAAAAGGGATAGAAACACATATTGCACTCATCAAATTCGATCATCTTGTTCGTGTGTCCAACAATATGTTTTATTAGATATTCACATATTATAAAAACATCAACAGCCATACATATTTACTTATAGACTTGGAAAAAGACACAATATAATATATCAAAAATAGAAAGAGAGGGGGTCGGGGTAGGATGGGAAATAAGGTGAAGTTTTTACTGTACATTTACGAATTTTTATTCTCACCTATTAAAAGCATTGCATATTTTTTTCATGGTTAAAACTATCATATTTACAATTCGTCATAAAATACATTAATTTACTATTATATGCACTGTTACCGTTTAATTCTAGACAAGTTATATTAAGGGGTTGTTGAGTACTGTTAAAAATCATAATCGTTTAAGTTTTATTTGACTTTGTGTTATTATGTTTTTGTGAGTCATGTAAATCACTTTATGTAAGGAGTTAAAAAGTTAAAGAGTTAAAAAAAAAGACATTGCATACAAGCATGTACATTCATATTAAGAGTTTCATATAAACTTTCCCTCGGGAGACAATTGACACAATCAAGAAAGTGCCTATGGGTGGGGCACAACGGTCCGCCAATCATGTCAATATAATAAACAAAATAACAAAATAAAAACACACACTAAAAAGAAATGAACATGAAAAAAGAAAAAGAAGATGGCACGAGCCGCCCAAAACACGCGGCTCGGTCGCATCGCTCCCTTGCATGTTATGCACTTCGTAAGACCCCCCCACACAATAATGACTGAAGCTACACTAAATCATTGTCGAAGTAACTCAAGCGGTCTATTTTACTTCGCAAGAATTGCAGGACACAAGTGCAATTCAAATGCCATGATCAATAGTTTGCTCGAAGACTTTACAGTAATATTTTTAATAGACAAACTATTAAACGGAGATCGCAGTGTTTGCACCTTCCGACTTCCACGTGTCCTAGAGTTCATAAATAAGAAGGATTAGATTGTTGAAAATATCCTTGAAACTAGTAATTGTCTCAGTAACTTAACTAATAGACAGATTTCCGGTTTTGCTCTGCAAAATGCGCTCATAATTGTACGGTCCGATTACCTTAACACAACATGACCAATTATAAGAGGATTAGGGCGGCGTCTCCGGAACAAAAATCTAATAATGCAACTCATTAAATAGCGCTGATAGTGGGTTTCAAGACTTCATTTCGAGTTTCATTTTTTTGTATCACAAGAGAGAGGATGACCTCAGGTCAGGTATGGATCTGAAAGGGTAGTATACAAATAAATATAAGTATATCGCTGGAGAATGCGGGGGGGGGGGAGGGGGGATGGGGTGCGCCCCACCTTTTTCCGATAGAGGAGCAAGCCTATTGTGCTTCCAATTTTTTTTTGGAAAACTTTCCTTTTGACCATCTTTTCCATTAAAAAAAATACATGCAGCTCCCCATTAATGCTTTTCCACCATTCTTGCCCCCACAATGTAGGTACTAATAGGAGGAAGAGGGGGAGGAGGACGAGTAAAGATGATGAGGAGGACAAGGAGGGGGGGGGGGGGGAAGGAGAAGGATGTTTTTTCCATATTCTAAAACGTGAGATGCCATATCTGGGATTTAGTTGGGTGTCACAATGCAGGATACCAAGGGAGGGGATGGGTAAACGCGGTAATCGAGGATATACGTCCAATTTGGACAAACAATTTGACGTCGTGTTAACTGAGTTCACCTCTACTTGTCAATCGTAACACAATGTTTCAAATAACTTAGCCAAATACGCGCTCATAATCAGTAAACGTTGCTTGAATCTCTGGCAAATGAGACAAATTCAATAAAAAATTACTAATTCGTCAACACAATATTGCGAAATCAACAAGAATAAAAATCTGAACATCGGTACTGATTTATGATTTTTCATCCTCAGAATAAACGAAACGCGTACAATAGCCACATCTAGTCGTCAAACTGAATGGAATGCCTCGATAACTGTTAACAAAATTCTGACGATCTAGAAAGAAAGGTGTTATATTGCATCGCCGTCATCAAGGCGATTGTAATTATCCCCAAAAGATCTGAATTTAAGTTCATGCCATCCGCGTGATTCAGACTGCGCCGGCTTATCGGGTTCTTCCATGGTGAATTGATGGTAGTTCGCCAGACCGGCGTTTTTCCTCATTCGGACGACGATGACGAGGAGAACACAGACGATAACGATGAGGAGGAGACCCCCGAGCACCGTCGACAGTATGACGATTTTGTTTTCCGTCTGCGCGCCTTTGTTTTTCACGCTCCCTCGTGGAATGTGGTTCCCGCCCTTTTTAACTGTCGTCTGCGCTTCCACTGTACCCAATGGAATCTTGTTGCTGTCCGTTGTCGTTGGCACTATCGTTGTGGTTGGCACTTTCGTTGTCGCTGGAGTTGTCGTGGTCGGCCTTGTTGTGGGTGTTGTCGTTGTTGGTGGTCTAGTCGTTGTTGGTGTTGTGGTAACCACTGGCGTCGTTGTGATCCTCTGCGTCGTTCTTGCTGTCGTCGTTGGCGCCGTTGTTGTGACTTGTGGCGTGTTGGTGGTAGTTGCTCTCTGTGTTGTAGGAATGCTTGTTGTTGTTGTGGTTGTTGGATACGGGGTAGACTCTTGCTCGCTGCTCTCGCTCTCCACGTATGAGGATTCTTCAAACTCACTGGGTACCCAGTCCTCAGTTGTTGTAACAATGGTTGTGGTCGTTATAGTGGTCGTTGGAGCTGTGGTCGTAATTCCTGCAAACGAAACAAAACAGAAAATAAAAATCATGTTCGCACAACCAATCTTGCGTGGGGGTATGATGCAACGGGGGAGGGTGGGGGGGGGGGGTCTGCCCACCGAAGACAATTTCAGTTATTTTCTTTCAAAACAAACAAACAAAACTATTCGGGCAACAATAATCATATATTCGGTCAACATGTAACGATAGCGAAAGGAAACCAACTATGATTATAGAGCATGTAGAGACAATTCTTAATCGAAGTAATATTTCTTTATTCAAAAAACGTAGAAGCTGTCTCTCACGGGGCAAACTGATGATCGTATGAACCGGCTCTATATAGAATAAAACTTTTATTCAATTAGAGCATCATATTTCAACATGAGAGGGATAAAAAAAACACAAACGGAAAACGGTCTATCATCGGTCTTGGCGGCGGTCTTCTCGAGGAAATCCCGACGTATCAAATTACGATTTCAGAAGCAGGTCGAGGAAGTTTTATTTTGTTATTCTTGACGCACCCTATTTCTAAATTAAGTGGCGTAGAAACAGGGGCCCGGGGGCCACGTGTCCCATTCAAAATGACGAAAAAAGAAGAAAAAACAAAGAGAAAGAGAACGGGAGAGTAAGGGATAACGAGAGGGGAGTGAGAGTGAGAGAGAGAGAGAGAGAGAGAGAGAGAGAGAGAGAGAGAGAGAGAGAGAGAGAGAGAGAGAGAGAGAGGAGATAGAGAGAGAGCGAGAGAGATGATGACTATACTATAAGGTGCTTTTCCCAAGCATGCATAAGAGGCTATTGAGTTATCTTCTAAGAGAGCACATTAATGAGGTACACTGCGGATGTAGCACTCAGCTGAGACATTATCTAAGTATGTCTAAGGTTCAAATACAATCGAACTAATCATGCATTAAACTGACTTATAGCTTCACGTGCTCATATTCTATACCACAAAATCGTTGATTAATTGTTTTTTCTTCTTCATGCAGTGCCCTCGGAAAATGTAAGAAACAGTAGCTTCCATTATAATCATAATCAAAAGTAAGATGACGACCCTGCGAAAAAACTGGGTGAAAACAGCAGTTTTAGCTAGAATCAGCTGTGTCCCTAAAGTACATTTTGAGCAATATCGTTGCATTATAACTGACACAGTCCCTAGAATATTACCCTTCTTCCCTCTCCATTCTAGACTAAAATGAATCATGGACTTCCTCTTGAAAAGCTCAGAATTTAAAAGATAGCAAGGCCCTAACGTTATTTCGAACTATTATGATTTGTAAGTATGAAATTGTAGCGATACTTCCTGGGCAAGATGACTTCGTAGTTTTTGTAAAAGCAAACTATTTTTGTAAATGTTATTCACAAAATGATAAGAAATTACAACCTGCTGAACAGGGAGGAACGGGGTCAAGGCACATTTGAGGGGAAATGAAAAGGAATGATATGGAATGATATCATAATTACGATCTTTCGAGGTTTTAGCGAAGAGAATGTTTGCAATTTGAAGCAGTCTGGAATCAAAGAGGTATTTTTTAGAGTTTAATATAAGTTGGATGATTTGACATTAAATAGAGCATTGACCAGGGGCGTCACATGGTGAGGCGGGGGGGGGGGGGGGGGGGATATTGGGGTGTGGAAGCCCTATTAAAAAATGTCGGTAAATTAGATATTGTAGTAGGCATTAACTGCGCTTGGCATGATTGGTAATTTTCTCTGCCACCAAAGTGTTTTAAATGTGTCAGCATTGTGAACTATAGTTCGAAATCCTTTCTGTGGTCATTTATACGGTGTTCCTCTCCGTCGGGGAAGAAAAGGGTTCTTTTAAATCCCGATATAAAATCAAAAGCTTCGTCATGCCATATTGTTTGATGATGAATTCATAAAAAAGACCGTACATGAACGGACATCACCACCTCTTTATGAACCTGGTCCCTCTTCCTATTCAGTGCAGACATTAACTAACATCATTCGATCAAGGATGTTGACTCAAGCCGGTCTAGTTCAGGGTCAATTCTGTCATGATGCACCCAAATTAATGTCAAATTGAGACGTTCCCCCCTCCCCAACTAAAAATCGAGGGGTGTATAAAAATGCAGAGGGCGGGGAAGGGGCGGTGAAGGGTGAGATAAAAAATACTCTAGTGTCAAATCCTATTTGTATACCCTTAGCTGAAGGTGATTTAATCAGGGATTGTTTGTGGCTTGGTGAGTCGTATTTATCAGTTTATTGAGAGATAGTTTGACTAATCCTGGTAGTAGCCATAATCACTGAGGCCAAATATCTGAGTTAAAGGTAAACTTAAAGGTTAATATAAATAGGCCTACTACAAACAATGACAATCTTCTCTATCCCCAACCCTATGACACTTTAGCAGATATTGAATTGGTCGCCAATAGTTAGGTACTTATTCGGGGATTAATAATAATGATGAAACATCACTATTTGATAGACCGCTCCATTTCATAGAATTATTTATAGTGATATACAATATATTCATTAAAATGGGGTTTAGTTGCACGTTACGCATCTACGCATCTGTTGCTATACTGGAGCACAACTTTCTCCTCACGATTTCCCAGCCTCAGTTACGTTTACATCTTATTGGGTTCCCTTTTATACTCCTGGATGGGGAGAAGCAATGCAGGCACAATACGTTGATTTAGGATGTAAGTGCCATACTGAGACGTTACTCAATTATTGGCGACTACCGTTGTAAAGCTCAGGCCTTGTTTTGATTCACTCTCGGGAAAGAGTTTTATTTTCAAATTGTGCAAATCTAAAAGAATGGACGACAATAAGGAAGATCAACCGAGTTCGGCGACGCATCTTGTCATTCATTAATTTTAATTCATAACTTGATAATCGCACCTTATAGCGTATCATAACTAATCATTGTGCCTATTAATTATCCACCCTCCTGTTAATCTCACTCATGTCGACTAGATCTACAGGCGATCTGTTCTCGTTATAAGAAAATGCCCCAGTGGCTCTCTTCCGTACATTCATACAATACTTCTCTGCTCCTTTGTGATTCGTCACTAGCGCTATTCTGATTTATATCAAAAAAACTTTCGGTTAGGTTAGGTAGCTTGATAATCTTTTGCCCACAGAGTTCTGTAGCTGCCTACAACTTTATGTTGAGCAAAAAATTTCCAATTATCAGATCATTGTTCTTCGGTAATTGCCTGTAGCCTACTCCATCCTGCCTATTTTAGTCATCCTAATTGTGTCTCAGTCCAGTGTCACATCAGAGTTTATTTCAGAAGCGGTGGTATTAGATTATGTGGTAACTAATCGTGCAGGGGTTTTCACACTGTATTAGAGGTTTAACCAGTGGCTATGCACTGGGGCACGTGCCCCCCCCCCCCAAAAAAAAAAAAAAATCGAAAAAAGAAAGAAGAAAAGAGGAATAACGGGCTGATTACTTATATTTTTGCTTTGCTTGTCAGAGAATTTTGTAGCCAAAGCGGATAAACAAAACTGTATTTTAACCCTTTTATTTGTCACAGACTTTACGGATATGCCCCCCACCCACCCCGCCGCAGAATCCCGGATCCGCCACTGGTCACACATGACTCTTCACGGATCTCAAAATTACCCGAATTCATTATTGGCCATTTTCCAATTTGTAGATTTATTTAGAATTATTCTTGAATCCCTTTCTCTTCCAATTGTGACTGAATGAAGGTACTGCGATACGGTCATCAGAACAAACACATGTGACACAAGAAAGAAAGGCATTGATTGAGTCTTTTGCTTTGTCATCCTTATCCCGTACTTGCACCCCTCATCACCAAAATTCTAAAGATCATCACCAACAACGTCATCGTTGTCAACATCGTCATTTTAAGAAGAATGGATAAACGAGAATAATAATGACTACTTTGATATTATTTGCGCAAATATCGACCCGAGAATGCTCAAGTCACCTTATATATAACAATTTGTTAATCCTCATTTTAGCTAAACTGCCCGAAGGCGCTGACAGCTTTCGAGAAACACTTCCCACCAGGTACCTATTTACTACACTTGAGTCGAATATGGCCGATGTACATGTAGATTAATGTCTTGCTAAAAGGTCAAGATCATCGCGCAGCTTGGACTCGAACCCAAACTATTTGACCTACAGGCTGGCGACGTATCGATCCACGTACTAGACCACGGCACCTCTCCATGTGCATCATACCAATATTGTAATACCCCATCTCCAATGGTTAATGTATGATTAGACGTTTTGATTTCCTCTCTACAAAATAAAAATGTTCCCAGTAGCACCAACTAAACCGACAAAGGGCTGAACAAAAAAGGTTACATTACCCCGTATGGCCAAGTATCGGGCGGTATGAGTCGGTTAGGCGGTGTTACAGATTTATTATCTAAAAAAAGTTCAGTATTCTCGGCGAACTTTTCAATATATAGCACATGGCTGGGAGACGAGAGACAGATTGCCGAGGGGCGATCGGGTGCCCCTCGGTGAAACGACATGTCATCGGAGATTTCTAACGTAATTCAAAGAATGACTCACGGTGTTTCGCATGGGAAAATCGTTAATTGTGAGGAGGATGGAAAAGGGTTGATGTAGAAAGGTAGGAAGAGAGAGAGAGAGAGAGAGAGAGAGGGAGAGAGAGAGAGAGAGAGAGAGAGGGAGAGTGAGACAGACATACAGAGAGAATGAGAGAGAGAGAGAGAGAGAGAAAAAAAAGGGAGGGGGTAGAGGAGAGCTGAAGGGGGTAAGTTTAACCCAAGTGAAACGAAAACAGAGAAAGAGAGGCAAAGATGTAGAAGTAGAAGAAGGAAAGGAATAAGAAGAAGAAGAAAAAGAAGAAAAAAGAGCAGAAGAGGAAGTAGGAGGAGAAGAAGAGTAGAAAAAAGAAGGAGAGATAGAGGAGATATTGGCATTTATTTACAGCGAAAAAAGCATGATTATAAGAAAACAAAAACATAGAAAAAGTCTGATCAAACAAAACAAACAAACAAATGAAAACATTATGAACTGTGATAAAATGAGAATCAAGGCCTCAATTTGTTTAAAAAGTTCAAAAGGACATTAATCATATCAAACATGGGCACCGTCTTTTGAACAGTTGCGATAAATAACAACTTATTTGCGATTGATTGGAGAACATGCGATTGATTCGGATCAATCGCAGCTCGTGTTAAGACAGGACCCAGTTATACTTACTGATTCCGCAGTATCTTCCCGTCCACTCGTTAGGACATTCACAGAGATGACCGTTTCGCTGATCCACGCAAGTACCTCCATTGTGACACGGAGCGCTTTGGCATTCGTCAATATCTGTTTTTAAGAACATCACGATAGAGAGAGAGAGAGAGAGATAGAGAGAGAGAGAGAGAGAGAAGAAGAAAGAGCGAGAGGTAGACAGATAGATAGAGGGATAGAGAGAGAGAGAGAGAGAGAGAGAGAGAGAAACAAAATGAGTTGGAAATTGTCATCTAATTGTGAGGGACTGGTACTTTGAAAGTATTATTAACTTTTTGCATGTGAATCATAAATTTATTGCCTCACTTTTGCAAGAATGGCAGAATACACCAAAATGAAAGTATTGTATTTTCTCAAAGAACAAAATACTAAAGATTTTAACTAGGAAGTACGACGTAAAGTGGTTAATGTTAACGATGGAGACTGCAGATCCTTCTGGAGTGTTCTAGAATGGAACATATGATATCCGATGTCATCATGTTAGGATAGCTCTTAGTCTAATTTTAGCTATCACTGTTGACTGAACCTTTAAATTTTACACAACATAGAGGTGATATAGAGGTCTCATATTAACAGGAATAAAATGAAAATAGAACAAATAGACAACAAAGAAGATTGAATTATCTTTACAAAAACAAAAAAAAACACTTTGGTGATTAGTATCAATCGCCGGAGACAGCAAATTACAAAGGAATACAGAAATGCATAAAATAGAAACCAGTCACCTAATTTTATGTACGCACAGATAACGGGTATGAATACCTTCATCACTTTCCTAGGACCCACGTGATCTTGTCACGTACGTACAATGACGTCATCGGAGATTCCAAAGGAAACCACAGCGATGTCATGGAGTTCACGATGATAAAAATGGCAATGTTGCGGAACATAAACATCCAAAATAATCTTGTTAACGTGTTCTAATACACTCTGATACATCATTTCCGTGGACCCATTTTTCATTTATTGCTGTTTTTCATCGACTTTACATCATTGTTTGAACTGTTGACTAGCGACTTGTTTTACTACAAAGACTAGGGAATTGATCAACTGGTAAAGGTTTTATAATTGCAATTATGCTCCAATTGTATTGTCGATGATCATTTAAAATGTAACTTCGAGTTGTGGCCGGGATACAAGATTCTGTGGCAAACTATAACAATGTCATTCTGAACGGTTCATTACGCATAACATGTATTCCTTAAAAGCGCGAAACAATTACATATGCAAATTTTGCTTACAAGCTGCACAAACTAAAATCAAACTAGAAAGAAACCCCCAAAGAAACAATACCAACCGAATCAACAAAAAGCAGTAACACGCATTTAGGACCATGTGCTACATTGCTTGGAATCACTCATTCGATTTTATCGATTTCGCTTGCATGCTTAAATATCACTCTGCTATTTTCAATTTTGCTAACAAGTCCATTTAGCAGATATCATTTAGCTTTGGTCATGAACGGCTGTCTTTTTAGATGTTGTGCAAACCTTCTTTTCTGTCATTACCCAAAACTCAAGGCTACCTTTAAAACATTCGCTTTGATCGTCTCTGAAAAGAGTCACCGGTTTCATCCATCTGCTGCGTAGGTACATCATATTGCGCTATTCCTACCATACCCACATGGGCTTTCAACGGAAATCCCCAAGGACGTGATGAACATGTCATAAGCTTTCGCTTTACCACTCGAATCCTGACTCGGTTATCTTGATAATAATTTGTCACAGATGGTAAATATCATAACGATTATTTATTAAAGGTGGATAGGTAATGACCGAAATGGGAAACCCATTCGGATTCTAACATAATCACAATCTGACAATGAATTTTAAAAACTACAAATACAAATACATACGTCTCCCTAAGGCATTTTCAAACAAAGTTAAGAATCGCTGCGTATATTCTCGCTAGTCAAGATTACACACAGGAGCGAAATCGCCAAACATTATGCACGTTGCATTGGAAGCGTCATTTTTCTGACGTAACGATACGTCAATGACAGGCAACTAGTGGCAAGGTCGTTGATGCGCTATGTTGGAGCGTCATCGTACAGACAGTAAGTGATAACAGAAAGAAAATGCAAGCACTGCGGTTTAAAATGGCACAATTGCGTTGGTATTATTAAAAATGACGCCTCATGCATTAGAATAGAGATCTTTTTGTATGTGACTACGCTACCTATTATGCGCAAACTTCAGCAACTTCTTTATAAATATATAAATATTTTGTGCGTCTACTCATTAGCCTATTTAACATATCACTGCTTAGATTAATTGTAGATATTTTCTCTCCAATTTAATTTCTTCACCCCAATTCAAGATTGACTTTAACAACAAAACTGACTGGCTATCACCATTCGGATGATGGTTAGGTTGGAACGTGCGCAATTTTGTCACGAATGCGGTGATTTTCATTTTGGTAAAATATTCTTAAGGCAATTCCAAAGAGAGACACCACGTGCACATATTTCTTAAAATATATCGGAAAGAATAATGTAATCATCTCCGTCGTACTAATCTCATTCGGAAATTGGTCATGAGGTATAACGAATGTACTTCACACGCTAGCTGCATGTGGTTTTAAGAAATGCCTGCAGATGTTGATAATGCATTATTATTATTATTATTATTTATTCGGCAAAACAAAGTGTATACAGAGGATTACATAGAAGAACAAATCATACAAAACAAAGGATGAAAATCACCGTGATTCCCATGAGCATGAGGTATTTGACAGTATAAACGCGCCTAATTTGGTCGACGTAGCCTTTTAAACGTATAGTTTCAACTGCAGGTCAATACGTAATGACAATAATTTGAAATTAAACGATGTTAAAGATGATATTGCTTCCTACAGGTAAGTTCCTCTATTGACCTTTAAACTTCTAATTTTGGAAGCAATCATTCGCACATCGGCAAAATAGCTTGTGTTTCTCACATTACAAACCTGATAAACGCCGAAAATTTGTTCTCGGGAAACCGTCTATTATCGGTCGCAAATATATCCATCGTCATTGATACGACAGATATCCGGAGTATGTGGGAGAAACCGTTAATCTGTCAGTTAGAAATGGGCATTGACGTTATGATGAGACGTCAGAAAATGATTTGATTTTGATAATGAAAGGAGTCGATAAAAGTGAGAAAGTTGGCATAACGGGAGGTGGGGGAGACGAACAAGGAGAGAAACAAAATATGTATGTGCGTATGTGTGTGTGTGTGTGTGCAGTGGCGGATCCAGGGGTGGGCCGAAACGGCCGCGGCCCCCCCTATTGGCGAAGCAAAAAAAAATTGAGAAGGAAAAAAGAGAAAGAAAAAAAGAAGGAAAAAAAAGGGGGAAAAAGGAGAAGATAAAAGAAAAGAGAACAAAAAAGTAAAGAAAAGAGAGAGAGTTCAAAAAAGAGGAAAGAAAAAGAAGAGAGGAGCCGGGGAGAAAGAAAGACAACGAAATGGCACTAAAATTTAGTGACAGTAACGACGAATAAGGGAAAGACAAGGGGAAGGGGGGTGCGTGAAGGCGGATGCATTGAGGGGAGGGGGGGGGGGGGGGAGGGGTGACTGGCTGTATTCTTATTTTTAGGTTATGCGAAACTGAGTCGAAATTATGCTTCTTTTCAAAACAATCTTAGCATGCTTGTTTATGTTAAGCCGGAGTGCATGAAAAGGTTAGTGTAGAAACACTTCTGAAAAGGCCGCGCCCGGCCCCTCCAAAGAACGGCAGAATGGTAATCTATAAATTATGGGGTCATTCTTGATGGCTTTGGAGTCGTTATTAAGGAGGGGGCCGGCCCTACTCAAATGGTAGTGACCGTAACGATGGATAAGGAAATAAGGAGGAAGGGATGCACATGCAGGCGCGTACGCAGGGGGAGGGGGAGGGGGGAGGGGGAGGGGGAGGGGGAGGGGGGAGGGGGGAGGGGGAGGGGGAGGGGGAGGGGGAGGGGGGGGGTCGAACCCCCCTCAAATTTTTGTCAAGTTGTCAAGTTGGTCCTGATGTGTATAATGCGTAGACCAGGGGTTCTCAAACTTTTTCTTTGACGGTCCAGAAGCGATTTCTATGAAAGCTGTAAGGTCCGAAATGACACTTGTATACTGAAGATAATGAGGCATGTTTTTGGTCTATATCTGATCCAAGGAGAATTGTTACAGTTTAAAAAACAGAACCGCCAGTGCTTCCACTCGTTTAAATAGAGTTTCCTGAAAAAGAACACCCAATATCCTGGAATTCGAAAGAATTTTCTTAAAACTTTCAAAATGCCTCTTACTTGGATTTCTTATTTGGATGAATCGCTATGACCAGCGCTCAAAATACACGGGGGCGGTGGGAGATTCGCCCCCGTGAGCTACATAATCGCCCCCGTCAGGTTGCTCACGGGGGCGATTGCAAAATTAAAAATCGCCCCCGTGGAATTATAAAATAAAGATTTTCTTTTCTGTTATAACTTTAACACAATATTGAGTTTCAATTTTCAAATGAAATGGAACTTAGATTAGCGTGCAAGATTTCTTGTTTTATGATTATTACCGATTCAGCTCACAGTGCAGTGCCGCCGTCAGCAGTGGTTATAGGCCTACTGCGCCCTTAGTAGCGGTACGTGTGCACGCTGCCGCGCTATGTCTGCTGGAGCTGGAGGCGATCGCGCAAGGGCAGAAACATGGTCATGGAGAAGTTTTTCGTTGTGAAAGCGTTAACCCGCTGAAATCTGGTGATTTCAAATGACTAGCAAATAATGAACCTCGACCAGTAAATCAATATTAGGGACCTTTAGATTTGCATGATGGGAACGTGGACTGAAACGTGTGACCTCCTTTTAAGGCAGTGCCAGTGCTTAAAAGGACGTGACATGTGACTGCCAGTGCCTTAAAAGGACGTAACACGTCCACGTCCACGCAAATCTAAAAGTCCCTATTGAGAAGAAGAGGAAGACCAAGATGTCGTGGAATGATATGGTAACATGGGCAGATATACGGGGGGGGGGGGGGGGGGTTAGGGGTTTAACCCCCTCCTCCCACCCCCTTGGGCTGCCAAGTGAAAATGTGATATTAAAGCGGGGGGGGGGGGTGCTGGAGAGGAGG